TTCGTGGTAACAAAATATTTATATTTTAACAATCTTCATGTGTACGCTTTGTGGCATTAAATACGTTTGTGGTGTTTCAACCACCACCACGCCTCAATTTTCCCTTCACTCTTATCGCCCAGCGCTTGTCCCACATGAGCTCCAGGCAGTGGTGTGCACAATAGCCAAGTTTTATTCAGGAGGCTGGGAACAACCCAAAAGTCCATCAACAGGTAAATAGATGAATGGTGGTATATTCATGCAGGAATAAAACTTCTGCAATACAAATGAGCACACAAAAGTACAGAGTCATCTCAAAAACATTTTGTGGAGAAAAAAGAAGCCAAACATAAAAGAGTAGGTGCTGCCGATTCAACGCATATAATGTTACAGAAGAGGCAGGCCACGCCACAGTAAGAGAACACGGGTCTGTGCTTCCCTCTACTGGGGTGGGCAGGCGGAACAGACTGCAATGTGGAAAGACGGTCTAGGTCTTGATTGACGTGAAACTCCTCCGGTGAGGACGTAAACACATGCAAAAACTCATCAAGCCACCTTCAACGTGTGTGTCCTGTCTGTAAATTAGACTGCAGGGAGGCTGTCTTTAAACCAATAGTTCCAAACAAAAGGTGTCAACCGGAGGGGAGAGGTGAGAACAAAGCGGCTCTTCCTTCTCCAGAGGGAGGAAGGAGGAAATCACACCCTACATGTCAGCGAGTTGCTTGCTGTGTTATCTATGCGTGCCCTTGGGGAGGTTTTGTAGTATGCAGATGTAGTTGTAAGGAGCCCTGGTAGCATGGTGGTTACACACTGGGCTGCTAACCACAAGGTCGGCAGTTTGAAACCACTGGCAGCTCCATGGAAGAAAGACAAGACTTTCTGCTCCCGTAAAGAGCCCGACGCTCAGAAACCCACAGGGCAGTTCTGTCCTGTCCTCTGGGAGTTGGCATCAACAATGATTGAGATTCGTTTGTCTTTTTCACGTGTGATTTTGATGACTACACAAAGTTAATCTCTAAAAAACACCTTACAGCCTGCTCTGCTTGTCCCCAGGTGAGGTGAGCAGGGAGAGTCTGCCCTCCACGACCTCACTCTGTTCCCCCTCTCTCTGCCCCCAGTCGCTGTTGGCATTGCTGGCGTTGGTGCTGTACTTGGGCACATGGATATCAGGTGAACATTTTGGAGTCCCTGCGAAGGGAGGCACTAAGCCCACACCGAGTGGGGAAGGGTATCTTGGAGATGGCTGCATGCCTCCACAGACTGCCTTTCCTTCCCCTCTTCACTCTATTGGGATAACCCACCATGCTTATTACTACGATCACTCATATGCTCTAATTGAGAGGAGATGCTTGTGCCTCTTTCAGGAAGAAGCTGGGAAGTGTCAGAAAGGATCAGTGAATGTCACTACTCTCAGAATGCTGTGGCTACCCAGGTAACATGGGCAGGAAGGTGCTAGAGGGGATGACAAGTTTGGGCTGAGGAAATCTGAGAAGGCTTCCCAGAGGAGGTGCCATTGGTGAGGCAGGTCTTGAAGGATAAGTAGGAGCTGGCCAGTTACAGAAGGTGGGGATGAACACATGTACAGAGGCCCAGGGACTTCCCAATGCTAGTGGCACACTTGTTCACTCCTGAGGAAGCTCAAAATGCACTTTTGATGTCTCCCTTTCAGGGGCTTACATACCAGGCAAATGACAGCTCAGAAGTGCCAGCCAAGATCGTCAAGCACTGGTTGAAGGATAGCTTGCATACTCTCTTAGAGAAGCTGGAGGAAGAGCTGCGTGAGCTGGAGCAGCGAGTCCGGGACCTGGAGGGGTGGCTGGATGTGCTGCTGGGCGAGGCTTACCTGGAGGAGTCCTGCTCCGCCCTCAATAGGCGCTTCTGAGGGCCTTCAGCTGGGACCTGGGGCAGAGGCAACAAGAGACAGGAGCTCCTCTAATTAGGTAGGCAATCAGATATGACCGAGCCAATCAAGAAAATAAAGTCGCTCGAAAAGTAAGTCTGCTGTCGGTACCACTGTTGATGCTTAGCCGTGATACACACAGCTGCAGGAGGCCCAAGCCCTACCCATACCGAGCCTCGAACAAAACTTCCTGCCTCACCTTGGAAAAAGCACAGCTTCAAGACCTATCTTCACCAGGTACCAGCTCTGAAACTACGGACAAATTTCCGGAACGGCTCTGAGACTCCATACCCTCATTAGAAAACATCCAGGAAATAAACTTTGCCTCCTGGGGCTCAAGTGTGCACATTTACACCCTGTGTCGGGCATACATCCGAAACACATTGTCATCTCACAGCACCCGGATAGGACAGGGTGGTTGCAGACTTCAAAGGTCCGACACAGCTCACTGCACCACCAGGGCTCTCTCTGGCATACAGAACCAACAAAACCCCTTTCCTTCAAGTCGACCCCAGGGTGTCAGAGTAGCATTGTGCTCCAAAAGTTTGCAGTGGCTGATTTTCCAGAGGGAGATCACCAGGCCTTTCTTCCAGGGTGCTGCTGGGGCCACCCAAACCTCCAACAGTTCAGTTAGCAGCCGAGCACGTAAACTGTTTGTATCATTCAGGGTTCCATATAGTAGGTCCCTAATGAGTGGTTTATTCCTTTTCTCCTCTGGAAGTTAACAGGACCCTGGTTGTAAATAGGAGTGGTTATGCATGGGGCTGCTAACCAGCAGGTCAGCAGTTCAAAACCCCCAGCCTCTCCATGGGAGAAAGATGAGACACTCTACTCCCATAAAGAGTTGCGGGGAAGTTCTACCCTGTCCTATAGAGACAGAGTGTGTGGCAACTCAGCCTTCTGACATTGCTGGTGGAAGTAAGTTGGTAAGACTCCTGAGCAGGAAGCTTTGGCAAGAGTTAACAAATTCACAAAGGCATTTACCCTTTGACCTTGAATCCACTTCGGGGAATTTACCCCACATAGGCTTACACGTGTATGAAATTACACAGGTGCAAAGGTTACTCACCCTAGCTCCTTTTGAATAGCAGAAAAGTGGGAACAACTCAAATGTTACCCCTAGGTCATTGGTTAAATAAATGGGGGTGCGTCTAAACAATGGGGGTTCATGCAGCTATCTGTAAAAGAGAATGAAGAAACCTTCCATCGGCTGGTAGGAAATTCAGCAAGACATGTAAACAGCAGGGGGTGGGGAGAAAGGCGAAGCGGAATAAAAATCCGTCATTTGTTGTTGTTCATACAATGAGGACGACGATGATGACAAACATGCCTGAAAACCAAGTGCGGGCACATGCAACACTGGAACCACAGGGTTGGGAGTGGGCAGGTGAGGGACAAGAGGAGAGGGAAACCGTTCACTGTTTACTTTCCCTATTTTCTTGCCTTTAAACCATGTAACTACGTCATCTATTCAAACGCTTTTTAAAAAATCTATTTTTGAACAAGCAAAAATAGCAATGTTTCTATAATGGAACCATGATGACTTTCATTTTTTCAAAAATTGTGCCCAGAGAAAACTCCTCTTCCAATTAATGTGTTCGGATTCAGCAGTAAGGATTCTATCTACACAGGGTCCCCTTTGGCCTTTGCCTCCAGGAAGCTTAGAGGCCAATGGTTGTGATTATAGAAATTACACAACCTTCTGATTTTTTATTATTTATTCTCCCCTTTCTATGATCTCTTTGCTTTAATAACATTATCATACACAGGCCATTTATTAGAGCCACTTCCTAGCTTTGGAAAATTCCAGTTAAAATAAACTCGGAGATGATCTGCTTTACAGGAACGGCACAGGGATCGGCTTGCAGGAAGAATTTTCCTGTGAAGGTTTGTCGAGAGGTTGGAACCAGAAGTTTTTTTCTGATTTGCAATGACGTCAACAAGAGTTCCATAAGATGGAGCTGATTGCAATGTTCTTGCATTTGTAGTTACATGTTACACACATTGTAGCTGCACACGTGAAACCACATGTACGTATGTGCTCTGAAATGTTTTGGAGAGTTTTAGGAGTAACTTTTGTGGGAAATTGAGGACCTGGAAGAGAGTTATGAGCCCAATTCTCTACATTCATAATTGAGTCTGGAAGGCCAACTCTGGGGAGGAAGGTCTCCCAGGGGTGAGTTAGAGATGACTCCCAGTCACATTCTGATGACTAATCATCCCACAATAACACCCCCCCATAATAGTGCTACTATGTTTGGGTTTGGGTTTTGTTTTTAATTAAAAGATCATTTTATTGGAGGCTCTTACAGCTCTTATAACAATCTATACTTCCATTGTATCAAGCATCTTTGTACCTATGTTGCCATCATTATTTTCTAAACATTTACTTTCTATCAAGCCCTTGGTATCAGAATTGTGCTACTTTACAGATGGCCCTCACAAGCGTATGGCTGCTCTCCATGCACCTCAATCTACCTATCTCTGCGAGCAAACAAGTTCTATTGTCTCCTCGCTGAAAGGACAGTGGCCTTCCCTCTGCCTGCCACCGTTACTGGTGTCGGGTTACTCCCCTAATGAGCTCAGGGACATCGAAGATGAAGACACTGCCCACCTTGTGATGTGTGTGATTGACAGGCCCGCACGCCCTCAGACTACTAAGTCTGTTGGAGAATACATTCCCTGTCTTTCTCACTCCTGACTTCTGGAAAGGTAAGCACCCTGCACGTTTTGTCTATTTTCCCTCAATTGCACAGCCACTCCGTAGGACCCTTTCATTTGTGAGGCTGGACCTCACAACTTTGATGCTAACATTGTCAATGATGAATAACTTTGGCCCAAATTTAGGCTATGCGCACTGTAGACTTCCACCCTATCTCCAGCGCATCTGTCTGCAACACACAGCTGTTGGTAGTAGTTGGCTCCAACTCATGGCAACCCCATGTACAACAAAATGAGATGTTTCTCTGGTTCTACACCATCCTCAGGATTCTTGGGATGCTTGGGTCCTATTTGGAGCCCTGCCCACTAGGAGTCAAAATCTACTCGATGGCAGTGGGTTTACTTTTTCTAGTTTCCCACTTCTACTAGCTGCCAGTTCACATTTTCCAAGTCAAATTTGCTGGGTTGCAAGTACTCCCCCAACACAAGAACACTTTGTTCTAACAATTTGGCAGTCTGAGATGCTTACCTACCTAGCATGATCGCTGAAGACAATGGGTGCACAAGATATTGTGATGAAGAAAGCGGATGATGCTTGGCTACCAAAAGATGTAACACCTGAAGTCACTGAAGACAATGGGTGCACAAGCAAGTG